AAAAAATAGGATGGAGTGGTTCAAAAGAATCATTTATAAGTGGCTCTTTGAAAACAATATTAAGCCTTATAAATGATATCTTCTTGTCAACAGACATTGGAGGGTTGATTGGAAACAGTAACAGCATACGGCTAGACTCTCAAGCATCCAAATGCAGTTTATTTAAACATATTCATTAGTTTACTGATCAGTTGAGGGACATTCCAGCTTAAAGTGCTGTTAAGTCATCCAACATTTTTTGACTCAATAGTTTTTAAGATAAAAATATGTTTGAAATTATAATGTATTCACACATGCAGTTGAGCATACACTAAAAAATCATTATTGAAAAAGAAGTGGGTTTGGTTAACTAGCATTTATAGAAAGCTTCTGTAAGTCAGCATCATGAAAAGCCTGCCCCATAATGTATTTTGGTTTCTGAGATGAATTTACGAGTTTGCTGTCGTTTACAGACCCTAGGTCAGGTGGTCTGGGCTGTGCTTGGGCATGTCACTCACTCCTTAGGTCAGTCTGAGATGTAGTGTCCAGTCTAAACAAGCTCTAGTCTAGAATTAAAACTAGTGATGACGTCACATGTCTGAGAGCAGCGGGTTTCTGCTGGATGCCTTTTCTTCCTGCAGGGACGCCATTTATGGGTGTACGGTATGTGCACTGCAGTAGCATGCATTCCATCTCCAGACTACCTCTGCCCAGAGGCAGGAGTACCTTGTCTTTACAAAAATGTGCCACTCATTCTTGGGGTCTACAAAAACCCAAGTTGCTGTGGAAGCCACTCTAACTCACGGCAACCCCATTCGTGTCAAAATCGAACGGAACTCATATGGTTTTAAATGACTGGTTTTTCCAAAGTAGATTGCCAGACCTTTCTTCTGATATGCCTGTGTGGACTCAGACTTCCAGCTTTTTGGTTAGCCGCTGAGTACATAATACTCTGATTGGGGGGCTGGGGGTCCCCTTCTAATCGATGTACTCCATGGGAACTCAGTTTTCTAATTTTCCCATTGAAAAGGGTGTCAGTCCACAGAGGGTATATTTTCATTCTTTAAAATAATGTAAGTGTATATAGTTCGTTAGGAGTCCTGGTGTGATATTGTGGGATAATGCACTGCACCACAAATTGTATTTGATCCGTGGGGTGGGCGGTTCAAATTCACCAGCTGCTCCTTGGAAACCCTGTTTTAGGTCACTATGAGTCAGAACTGACTCAAAGGAACTTATCAACAACAGTATGTTACGTGAAAGTTTACACAGAATATTAGTTTACCATTTAACAATTTTTAGACAAACTGTTCTGTGTCACTGGTTACAATATTCACACTATATCAGCATTCTCATTATTCCACTTGGTTTGTTCTGTTTCCATTCATCTAGCTTCCCTTTCCTACTTGTTCTCATCTTTGTGTTGAGTAACTGGTTACCATTTAATCTCATGCAGCTGATTGTTCTGTTTAAGGGAGTGCATCACTCACAGGTAATACTGTTTTCGTTATTGTTGTTGTCAGATGCTATCAAGTCGGAACCGACTCATCGCGACCCCATGCACAGCAGAACGAAACAATGTCCGATCCTGGGCCAACCTCACTACCGCTGCCACACTTGA